CTGATAGAAAATGTGATAGAAGAGTACTGCTAAAAAACAATTATAAAGGACCTCATCCCTTTTACAGTCTTGAAAGCCTTATAAACTTCTTCACCTTTTTATCATAAGTTTCCCCTTTTAGCCAATGTAACTCCTTGTTTTTAGTGATTTGATGCATGTGTTTCTTTGTCACCTGAAATAAAAAAACAATTTTCTAAAAAAGTATAACCAAATTTTAATCAAGAACAGATATTAGCTATTATTTCCTTTTCAGTGTTGTGTTGTATGCTGCAATGATCTAGGTGTGCTTATATTATGCATAATAAAAGTTGCTTCCATGAATATATCTATGAATATATCCATATATTATACTGTATGCAGAACATGTCACATACTTCCTACCTCCATCCTTCCAACCACTACATTGCATAGACCTCTGGTTCAACTTAGTCCATTTCTCTCTCTTTTTTCCAACATACAGTAGATCTCACAAATACTCTGTTCTTCACTGTAAGGGCAAACATCTACTGATGATCCATACAAAAATTGTAAAAGAATTATAATATTCAAAAAGCAAGTCCAAACAAGCTACTCTATCCTCTGTGTATAACTGCAAATATATACAGCAGATAACATCATTACTATCCATAAATAAGTCCTTAAGGCAAGTGGTGGGCATTCATAAAACTGTCTCAATATTTGTGGGTATCACTCATGGGTGGGGAGATCTCCATTCCAATGATTTAATTTAATGTATTTTAATTGAAATTTCCTCCCTGGTCCTGTTAAAATTAATTTTAGTAACAACTTTTGGAGGTCTTTGGGAATCAAGTGCAAGAGTCTCAGGGCCACATAAGACTCTGAAGGGCTGCACATGTTTGCTCCAGGAACAGAGCAAGGGATTCCCACCTTCCTTGCTTCTTTCTTGAGGGCAGGTACAGAAGCCATTTAACTATTCTCTGATCAAAAGTCAAAGTACAGCACCTGCTTAGCATCTACTGATGCATAAAGGAAGAGGAGAGTGATATTCTTCTAGAAAGGTGCAGGCCTCTGCCTAAACTACAAATTAAACAACAGTAATATAAAATAAGTGAAAAGAAGGAAAAGATAAAGGTGGTGTAATAAAAAGTTGCAAAGGAAGGTATTAGAAATGGCTGAGGTTGATAGTAAAGGTAGAATCTCTTCCAGTCAAGCTCAACTCTTGATGACTTCAGTACACATCCATATAGTTTTCCTGGCAAAAATAAGGAAGCGGTTTGTATTGCCTTTTTCCAGCATTTTTTTTTTTTTTAACTTTTCAGTTTAGCCTACAGCCCAGACATTCCCATGTGATCTTTCACCTAGATGGTAACCAGGTTTGGCCCTTTTTCGCTTTTCAGGATTAAGTAAAGTCTACAGGATGCTTCCACTTAGCCAGGCAAGCTGATAGCCTACATGATAAACCTAAACTCTTCTGCCTGATACCTCAGCTAAAACAGCATCAATTTTCCCTGATCATATGACCAACAAGGTCCAGTCATGGTGGTCTAGCTGTCCATGGGAGATGGAGCTATAAGTTATGCACTAAAAAGGCATGCTGTTAGCCTCTCAGTGGTTTCCTTGTTTAAATATATCCATCAGAGTAGTGAAAAATGGCTCCTGTGCAGCTGCGTTTGTTTTAAACCTAGCTTCAAGGTGTTGTGTTCCATTCATAGCGCATATCCCCAAGGAAAGATCGAAGGACAACAGTATGGAAAATGCCAAGTGAGCACCATCCCCAGTGGGATCTGGAGGTGAATTAAGGCATTATAAGTGCTTCCATCTAACTTAGGGAAGGCAGCTCAGCCTCCTCTAGTTTTGAGTTTAGGCCAGAGCCATGGGGCAAATCTGAATAAAAGGAATCATCAGAATTTGTTGCTGATGAAGGAAGTATTTGTTTCACTTTTTGTTTATGTGGCAAGGAAGCAGAGATCTTGTCTAAGTTAATAGTACAGGACTCAAATATACACCTGCACAATCCCAATTCCTAGACTTTTCTCTGAAATTATGTTCCATACTGGTGCCAATTTGGTGTTCGGATGGTAACTGATAACAAAGGCTGTTCTATAGTCACCCATAGCTGGATATCATGACAAGTAGCATTTTGGATATTCTAACTCATCACAGAAATAAAGCCTTTATTGCAAATGCCCATGGAAATGCTCCCCCATATATACTAAAATATATCAGAGATTGGCTTAGTAGCTAAAAAGAGAACCCTGTGGCATATTTATGCTATAGTCTGAGACTGGGAGCCAAGAAGAAGATTTTGGAATTCAGTGAGTTAATCTAAAATTAAAGCAGGAGAATGTCTGTCTGTCTGTCTGTCTGTCTGTCTGTCTGTCTGTCTGTCTGTCTGTCTGTCTATCTATCTATCTATCTATCTATCTATCTATCTATCTATCTATCTATCTATCTATCTATCTATCTATCTACCTACCTACCTACCTACCTACCTACCTACCTACCTACCTACCTACCTAGTCTGGGGCAAAATTCAGATTAACACTTCTTCATTGTTTAGAAACTCAGGAATAAGGTACAGAGGGTAATAAAATTCTCTTTTCCTATTCCTAGGAGCACTCTGATGCAATAGTGATAATAGAATGGATCTGTGCCAAAACAGAGATTGTAACTGCAAGGTTCATGCCTTAAGATCAAACGCTCTAGATTCCCTCCATGGTTCACTCACACAAATCAATTCCAATCTCTCTCCTTGATTCTGAATAAGTATAGTTTATAGGGACAGTACATCCAAACTTGGGAAATAAAAATCACATTTGTTTGCAACTAAGACAGCATAAGAAACTCAGTTCAAGCTTCGGTTTTGAATTCTGGTATGCAGGTAAAGTACTGTCCTATGAATCATCATTGGCCTTATTTTGTGGGAGTGACCAAGTGTTGTGAACAAGGAAGTGAGGGAAGGAACTATAATACCAGTAGGTTGGAGGAAGGAGGAGGAGGAAAACCTGGGGCCTTAGGGATGGCTCTGGGAGTTGGCTCATGGTTTGGCTGTGGTATCTGAACTCAGCCAGCATCCCATGCAAATTTTTAGCATAGAAGCTCCCTGAATAGTTCTCCTTTAGGCCAAGAAATGAGGAACTGAAATATAATAGTGAACTAAGTAGTAACAATAACAATATTATAAATGTCATCTTTTATCATGGTTGTAAGAAAAGAAACTGATTATCAGAAGCTTGAAATTTAAAATTCAGTAAATGATGACAGCAGCACGGATATCATTTTACAAAAACCCAGAGTTGGACTATCCAAAGTATTACAGAAACTGTGCACATATTTTGGTCACTGTTCAGATTTCACCGAAATGCTGATAGGTTCTGGCTAGCAATCTGAATAGCTGTATGAAAGGGTCACCCTGTGTGTGGCAGCTGTGAAAAAAAATAAACCATGTTGGGAATCATTTAGAAAGGAACAAAATTAAAACTACCATAATCATCAACTCTATAGTTGGCTATTACCTTTGCAATGGATGCTGCATCTCTAAGATATGATATATAAGTTTATTTTTGAACAGGAAAAGAGGCAGAAGAAAGCAACGGGGGTGGGGGTGGGAGGTGGTGCATAGAGAAAAATCTCACTCTCTCCTGTGATATTGAAATATTTGTTTTCATGGACTTAGCTAAGTTATTTAAGCAAAAGTAGTATTAGTAGTAAGTAGTATTAGATAATATTTGAAGGCTCACTAAAGCTGCTTCTGAAACCTCCCCAAACTGCATTCCAGAATGTATTTACCTGCTGTATATTAGGCAGCCCATGCTATTGATCTCCTTGTCCAGCTTGAATCTCCGGAAGTCTTCCCAAGCATCTTTAAGAGCAGTGATGGCCATTATAACACAGATGGGCACCACAGATATTCCTGGCTCAAAAGCACTGACTACTGGCACAAAATTAAGAACTACGATGACCACAAAATATACGTTGGCAAAGCGGTGAAATTGTTCAAAAATGTTTTTAGGGATAAAAGACAAGAACGTGTATCGGGTGGTCTTGATTTTGTTGCCTGCATAATGTCTATTTGGATTTTCTTTCCACTTGCCTTCAAAGGACAAGTTTGAATGCACAACTCGTTTAGTTTCTTCATTCTTCTTTCCCCCTTTCCTTCTCTTCACAGATTCCACACTCTCAGACTCTGAAACAATGCTCTGACAGCACGGTCTTCTGAACCAAAGTATATCCCGTAGGAATGTTATTGAGCACATTTCCTTGACATCTTCCTGTCCTTTAAAGCTACATTTAGAGAATTAAACACAAACTATTCCAGTTGGTTTCTTCCAGGGTGAAGTGTCAGGCTGAATTTAACTGAGCCAACTGCTTTTGCTTGCTTTAGTCAACACCTGTTGAAACACAGAGGTGTCATCCTTCTGCAAACCAGTTTTGCTGCCCTCAAAAAGAGTGATCCTGGGTCTTAGTGCCTGCTTGCTCTGCTGCTGATTCTGGAAATGTTTTCTCAGCTGTACAATGACACAGAAACTTTCTGAACAGTATAAAATAGAAGATTTTTTTTTTTAGTTCATTGGTCTCTTACTTGAATCTCAGGTAGGTGTTAATATGGCCTTTATAATTCTTTTTATTCAGCATTATAAATATTTTATGCTACAAACAACAACTCCAAGCAATCACATTTCTATGCATAAAAATTACACACAGAGAAATCGTCTGTACACTGTTTTTCATAATTTGTATGCAATTCCCCAAAATGCTATGCATTTCCTTCAACTATCTGCATTGTCAAAAAGTTATTGAGGCGCTCCAAATATCCAAAGGAATGGACATGTCTTCTATGTGACATGAAGAGGAGTAACTGTAGATTGGCTTCACACATCACCCTAAGCCATGCTTTAACTATGGATTTCAGCATTATTATAAAGATAAAATTATCTTCTGCCACAAGTTGTGTTCTGATATTTAATTGCGTATATCAGTGTGGGGGATGGGATGGGGATATCAGGGGTAATAATATAATGGCACATTTATAGACTTACTTATTGTATGCCTTCGTTTTAGAAGAGTTGATCTGCTGGTCCAATTTGTATCTCTTATAATCTTCAGTCCCATCCTTAACAGCTATAACTAAAAGCACAATGGCTAAAGGTACCATTGTGATACCCCTCTGAAAAACTTCCAGTTGTGGGAACCAGTTGATGACCACCAAGAGGAGGAAGTAGATGTTGGCTAACCTAAAAAGATAGAATCATTAATGGAGTCATTAGGTTTAACATCTTTCTTATTGTGCTGGTGAGGCAATGATTTCTGGGTCCAGAGATCAACCAACCAACCAACCAACCAACCAACCAACCAACCAACCAACCCTTATTTGTTCATTTGCTTTAATGGCTAAACTTAACCCTGCCCACAAACTGTAATATGTGTTTAGACAATGCATTTACCATAATTTACTAAATTAATTCAATGTTCTATGTTTCCATCACACATTGAACCACACTAACCATGCAGGGTGATTTTGCACAAAACATTAGACTAAGATGCGATGGGCTAGTTTGTGGCATAGTGTGGCATGTCAGCATTGGCATCTGTGGGGCCAGGATTGATGGAGTACAGAGTTCTTTTTTAAAAAAAATATATCCCAGTGTGGCTTCACTAATCTGGGTTGGCGTCCTAGAGGTGGCTTTAACTGTTTGCTTCTCTGTTTCAGTCTTGATCCAACCGACTCCCTTCACAATGTGAAGAACATCCTTATACACAAAAGTTGAACTATATGTGGATTAAAGCCACATAAACTTTGACCTACAAACTATTGACAGCCACACACAAAGCTGTAGATAAGTAGTGGTTTCAGTGTCAGTTTCCACAGCAGACCTTGGGAAGGTTTTCCATTATTTTGGATGATCCATTCCACCAGAGAAAATGTAGAGCTGCTTTGGCATGACCTAGTTGCTGGTGACTGGGCTATTCAAGATTAATCTATAATTTCCCAGGTGAGATGAATTTGATTAAAGCTTCTTCTGAAAAGTGCTTAGAATAGTTTCCCAAGGATCTGGACCATCTCCTTACATCTCCTTATGCGTTAATTATAGCTCTTAATGAATCACCAAGCCTCTCCCAACACACTAGAATTAGGCAATGTCTGACAAACATGTCACAATCGACACTATCTAAATAGCCTGGTTGTAGGCCTAGGCTTTATCAAGCCATGCAGCATCTGAGAAAGGATTGTGTAATATCTGATGTCACAGTAAATGAGCTCTCTTTAAGATGCAGTTGGACTGTCTCTTGTAATTCATTTATAAATCATCACCCATATATAAAGGTGGAATCCAATGTTCCCTATGTGAACTTCCTCTTGCACAATGGGACTTTGATCTAACTCTTCCCTTCCCTTCTGCAGCCTTCCCCATGAGCTCTGGAGGATCTTCTGACCTTTTCTAAACAGATTTTGAGGGCGTGTGTGTGTGTGTGTGTGTTTGTGGAGAGGGGGTGAATCTGAGATCCACAGACAGAGCCAAAGAGGAGTATTGGATTCCATTCTAATACATTATATAAACCATTCCTACTTTTAACTTAGGGATTATTGAATGATCTGCTGTGAACAAGATCTATAGTAGAGGCCAAAATCTCATGAGCTCAAATCATGCAAGGTTTTGGCATTCTCATTTAAAATAAAGAAGCAATTTTATATTTATTTTAATAGTTTGGTGCCACCTAGGAAGATCATGTATACCAATGTTTCTCAACCTCGGCAATTTTAAGATGTGTGGACTTCAACTCTCAGAATTCCCTAGCCAGCGTGGGTTGTGCCAATGGTGTGTGCCAATGCTGTGTTGCCTGATCATGGCTTAGGTACTGTAAAGCTTTTCATGACAATATAAAAGAGAAGTTTGGAATATGCAACAGTATATGATTCTTACCTCTCTAAGGTATATGATTTCAGTTTCTAAGGTATATGATTTCGGTATATGATTCTTACCTCTTACCTCATTATGTGCTTTTTAAAGAAATTTTGCACTCAGTCTGGCAACAATAATTTAGAAGCTTTGATTTAACTATGGCAAGTAAAAATCTTTTTATTTAGCTTTATTGTATGACTCTTTTCTTTGAATACCTTTCTTCCAATGACTGAAAACACTTATAAAAATAGTGATCATTCTGATTTTCTTTTGGGAATAGTGGTGCATTTACATACCTGTGAAATTGTTCAAAAAGGTTTTGGGGTAAAAAGGTCAGCAAAGTATATTTTGTGGTCCGTATCCCATTTCTGCAATATGCCTTCAGGACTCTTTCGGACTCCCTTTGAAATCTGGCATTACTAGGGAAGACAACCCTCCATTTGTCCCAATTGTACTTCTGGCTCTGTTTGTCAGAGGATATGAGAGGTGTTGTTTCCAGCTGTGAACTTTCTTCTTTTGGCCATTGATGTTGCCAACGGTGCAAAGTCATCCTCACAGATAGGAGATGTCTGAAACCCAAATGCACAACAGGAACTGAAAAGCAATTCTAGCCTGGCAACAAATGCATCTCTTACTAGTGTGTCAGTTCACACATTACCTGCTGCAAGAAAGGCTACCCAGTGCAAGAAAAATGCTTCCCAAAGAAACAGAAGAGGAACACATTGTTAACTATTTGCCAGAAATGATGAAACACATACAGAAGTTCTTACAACATTCATAAATGAATGATTTATAGGGCAAACAGATACAGTGAACTGTGTCATAGCAGATGCAATATAAGGGAAATCCGATCTGGCATGCTGTGTGCAATGAATATGTAGAGACGTTTTTAACTGATTGAAACTCTGCTTTATTTGCCTCCTCAGTGCTGGAAGAAAGGGGTCAGGGTGGGGGGTGGGCAAAGAATGTAGAAGAAAGCAAAAGTAGGGGGGAAAAAAATCTAATATTCAGCTCTGTCAGTATCATTAGAAAAAGCGCTTTGTTATAAGAAAGGGTTAAAGTGTTGCTTACAAGATCATTTCCCTGGAGGGGAAAAATTAAAAGCAAGGATAATTGCAACTTACGGCACACACCTGGGCCATGTAAGCAGCTACTACATCCCATTGTCACACACAGTGCGCTCATCTACTATTTTAAATTCAACCCCCTCCTGCATGGTCCCTCAGTCTTTCAGTTCCAAGTCTGTACTTCTGCAACAGGTGAAAACATAGGCAGTCAACAGTTTAAACATCCAGCTGAAGCCATGATGATAACTCAGCAGCTTTCATATTAATTTTAAAACTGTGATGCAAACAGAACGTATTGTAGACTTTTGGAATTTAGCAGCCTGGAAATATATTCTCCAAGTTCAGGCATAACAACTTTTTACCTCTAAAGCCAGCATTCTTGGTGGCCTCTGACTCTTTCACTTTTGTACAAAATCTACCTCTCAGTTGAAGTTCTTGATGCTGTTCTGGAAACCTGTAGCTTCTAGAGATCTTTGCATTTTGGCCCAAAGACCAACTGCTCATCTGTATCATCCCCTTTCTCTATTTTGCTAGTGCAAGAAATGAGTCTTGGGTACCAAAAGATTGAAAGGGATTGCTAGGAGTTGGAGAAGAGTAACCAATCGCTACAGGGCTTTTTCCTCCTTGAAGTGTATTTTATTTGTCTTTTTGATTAAAAAGCATTCAAAAAGGCTAAATCAGACAAATAAGACATGATTTAAAATATAGCTTGCATTTAACACCAGGATGAAGTGAACAGAATAAAATGTAGGTGCTTAAAACTTTTAAAATATTAATCAGAAGGGCAATAAAATCAGCTAAATAAGGCCAGGAAAGCCAGTATGGTGTAGCTGTTTAAGGTATCAGGATAGAAACTGGGAGACCGTGAGTTCTAGTCCCGCGTGAAGCATGAAGTCAGCTGAGTGACTTTGGGCCAGTCACTCTCTCTCAGCCTAGGAAGGAGGCAATGGTAAACCACTTTTAAAAAACCTTGCCAAGAAAACTGCAGGGACTAGTCCAGGCAGTCACTAGCAGCCAACACTGATTCAAAGGCCCCCCTCCCCCCTCACAAAAAAGGCCAGGAAAAGACAAAGTTTTCAGCATTGCCTTAAAACAGAGAGTTGGCACGAGAAGAATTTCTCAAGTTAAGAATTCTACAACATGGGAGTGGCCACTCAAAATTCCCCTTCCTTGTAGATACTAAATTGGCTTTACAAAGGTGGGAGTGTGGAGAGAAGCCTCTATGGTTGTTTTTACAAGCTTGGGAGAGTCCTGCAGAAGCAGGTAGCCTTTTAGGTATCCAGATGCAGAAGAGGGGATCAGAACACTTCCTTATGATTTGAACTTGCTGATTCTGATTTTCCTATGCAGGGCAACAGATGTTGCCTGATTTTAAGGTGGCTGTGTCAATTCTTCTTGATTGTCTTTTCTCCAAGATAAATGTATCCAACTCCTTTGTGACACTTGGTCTCACAGCGTCATATAATCTTTGTCAATCTCATTCCCCCATTTTTTGATACAATATCCTTAAATACTGCCTGAAAGAGTAGTTCAGGTGACAGCTGAACAAAGCAAAGAAAGGGGTACCATTACTTCTTACAAGCTGGACAGATTACTTTTCCTGCCAGAGTCTAGATGTTTCAACCCTTAACAGTAGCCCATAACCAAGGAAGTTAGAGTCACACATAAAGTCATTAATCAGACTAATGCCAGGTAAAAGAAGGTTACAGAATATTGGACATTAAATTGGATATACTGCACCCTTCATTTATTAGTGAGCACATTAAGGTGTGGATCTCTGTGAGCTGTTCATCCTTGCTGGCTGGGGAATTCTGGAAGTTGAAGTCCACCCGTCTTAAAGTTGCCAAGGTTGAGGAACCCTGCCCTAATGGATGGACTGATGCCTTATTTAAGAGAAAAGGCTGAAAGGCCCATTGGGTCCCCATCTCTCAAGTTTTGAAAACCTCTTTTTTCTTTTCCAGATACAGAATGTCCTTATGCTAGAATTGTGTTTTACCATTTATGTTATTTTTATTTATTTATCAAGCAAATTATTATCTTGCCACAGTCAGAAAGACCCTTGGCAGCTTACAGAGAATTTAATTGTCGTCACATTTCTAACTCATGGTTTGCTTATGGTCTATGAAGACACTTAGAGACATTTTACATATACTGCTGTAATGCCAGGAATCTACTATAACTGTGCATCTGCGTTTCCTACCTAAATGCAGAACCCCAGCTACTTAGGGTGATATTTATTTTGTTAATTGGAGGCTAGAAACAAATAAAAGAAATTGCCATGCAGATGCCGCTTTTATGCCAAACTTCTGAGCGCTTGTGGCTTCTTGCTCATTTTGCACAAAACGATGTTGTTTTGAAAAAAAGCAATCAAAGATTAAAGTAGAAATGAGAACAACAGATTTCCCCTGTTGTTTGTCCTAAGCATCTAGAATGCAGGGGTATGGTGCCTCTGAACATGAAGATTCATTTTAGTAGTCAGAGAAGTTAAGTGATATTTTTGACAGTATCAAGAGCAGAGATAACTAGTTGACAGAGAAAAATGGAGGAGCCAAGATGTCAAGGAGCACACACACATTGTCTATGTGCTCTTAAAGTCCTTTTTTATTTTACCTTAATTTATCTTGCCTTTATTTTTATATTTTCTAATTCTTTTTTACTAAAGACAGTAGGACACACGGCACCAGTTTATTATAATAGTGAACACTTTTAATACTTTGTGGAACAAGAAAGAGAATGGGAAAAAGAAAGAAGCAACATAGAATGAATTCGGGAACAGCCGTCACTTCAAAGCCTTCAAAGCAACCAAAAATTGCTGACTATTTAGCTACAAAGAATGATGTACCAGTAAGTAAATCTAATAATAACAGTGATGGTAGAAACTCTACTCATATGAATTGACAGGATGCCTTGGAGTGGGATTTGCAAACAGAGACTGAGCAACAACAACTGTTAGATCTCTCTACCTCTCTTCAAGATTGCAAAAATGCTTTTACAACACACTTGTCTCCTGAGGCTGTTGCTGTCCCTCCGACAACTTGAGCTCCCTTAGGGAGGGACAGGTCAAGAATCTCACAAATGAGAGTGCCAATGTCTTTATATCTAGACAATGTCTTTTAACAGCACAGACTGTACTCTCTGTCTTTGACTATTTAACACCAATAAACAACAATGTGGATTCTTTGAAAAAGTCTTTTGAGGCTTTTACTCAGAAACAATTAAACAAACTTACTGCACTTATGGAGGAACAAACTAGCACCAGGAGAGAGCAGCCTGCATTCGATAGCAAAAAACACTCAAACTCCAACTGTAACACCAGTAGGAGAGAGGACTGTCCATTACTGTGTGATGAGAAGAGGGAGAGGGGAATTGGGAATACTTGAATCCTTCAAACAAACCAGGTTGCCCTACATATATTTCTTAATAGAGCTAACAGGGGTCATTGGGATACAAAAAGAGCTATTGTTCTATTCTTCAGTCAACTCTTCTGCTGCCAACTCTATCTGATAGACTTCTATCTGATAGATCTGATAGAAGTGGCTACCCACTAAAAGGGGAAGTAAAAGAGTCTTACTGACATTTAAATGCTCTACAATACCTGGTATGCTGCTTAAAATGAAACATTATTCCCAAATATTCCCATTACATGTGTTTCAGTATAATAAAATATGCTCACTTTTTCACCCAGTTATGCAAGTTGAAGGTCTCCTTCTAGGCTCTAGGAATGATAAGCCGCCCACCACAGATAGCCTTGAGAGTTTGACCTTGACAAAAACCAACTCAGATAATCACTTAAAGTCATGTGATGATGGAAAGGTTTCTGATGAAGCTTTAGAAGCACAGCTGATTCATTCTTTTGGCGCACTTCCAAATAGTGAGCAAGATGAAATATTGAGAAAACTAAGGAATTTACAACAGACACATATAGTAGCAGAACTTCTGATTGAATTAGTGGCAATATCTCCTAAAAAGGGTTGCAACAATAATAACAATCTACAGATACCTCTGATACACTTTGATCCAAATGAGGATTTTCAACAGAGGAGCGACCAGAAGGAAGACGACCTGGCAGTTCTAATAATGATGATGGATTGAACCTGCAGCACCCAATCAATGACTGTATCTCCTCTGATGTAAGACCTGGTTCATGGCATACCAATGCTTTGCTTCTCTCTCAGGCCACTGTTCTACCAAATGGACCGCAGGCTATAGGGACTCCTCAGAAGAAAATTCTCAACACTTTGGATGAACCCACTGCCATGAACAGCCTAGCAACACCTCTACCCCAGCAAACTCAATCAAATATTGGAGACAGCCAGATCCCCAAGCACACTGAACTTACAGTGGACGACCCTAACACCAGTGTATTGGAGTGTCAGGTGAAGACTCACATGGACACCAGACAAAATACTACAACAAAATGAAGTCCACATGGTGAAGAATCACATAGTCCTGGTAAGCTGCTTTGCTATGTAGAGCCCCTTGATTTCATATTTGTAGACGAA